CTCTCAAAACATAGAAACTCTAGATGTGCAATGAGTGTACAATTGAATATTTTCATTTGCATACAATTATGCGCCAGATTATCCAAAGAATGTGGAACACCAAAAATTGCAGCACCAAAAAAGCAAAGCAGAATAAAAACAACACGTTTCAAAATGAGAAAAAGACTACCAAAATTGGCGATTTTCAGCTTGCTGTTTTGTCTTTAAAGAAGAAAAACGTGTAGTTACTAACACTATTAACGTGCTGCATGGAAAAATTTTAGGTTCTGAAACACTAAGTTGGAGCCTCAAACGGTGCGGTAACTCAAACAGTGCTGCACTCGAATCAATGATCGCCAATATAAAAAACAAGACTGCTCCTATATAAGGGCAAAGGATACCGAAGTACGAATGCCTCTTCGCGATGATACCGAAGTACGAGTACCTCTTCGCGTCAGTATCCACGTCATACCTCACGGCATGACCCAAATCTCATACAAATCTTCTGCAACAGGAACATCGTTGCCCATTTGGTGTTTTTATTCTGAGAACGGAGAAAACCAGCGACTATGTTCCCTGTCATTCAGCTGGATCAATCAATAACATCCTTCTCCAAAGATCCGGCATAGAATCGAACCCAGGACCGCTGCACATCTGCCCTATCAGTGATTTAAAAAATAACGAGAGTTTACAAAAGCGTCTGGCGCCACTTCGGCGGATCGGTACACCTCTCTTGCACCTCGTTGCATAACACTGAGGAATGGTCTGGCAATTACTACTGTCAAAACTGCTCTTACTGTCAACATCAAAACCACTACCCCACACCAAGCAAACCAAAACCCAAAAAACCAAGCCCCTCGAAACCAAGCAACGAAGAAAACGGCTGCAAAGCTTTCAAACTCCTACAACTAAATGCAAATGGCCTACGCCCAAAACTTGACAACATCGTTCAGCTTATGGAAACCAACACAATACCTGTACCAGCCCTTCAAGAAACTAAACTTTATGATAAAACCACCTGTAAAGCACCTCCAGGCTACTCAATGTTAACTAACAACCGTAATCCGGGAAAAGGTGGAGGTTTAGCTTTTCTCATTAAAAACAACGTTATGCATCAATAACTTAAAATACCAATGAACCCAGAAGACTAACACATAGAAAACTGCAAAACTAAAGTAAAATAGTAAGAAAGTCACATAAACCTGAATAATGTTTACATCCCACAAGCTGCGACTCATACACCGCTTCCATAAATCAACTACTCAACTTTGAGGTTTCTCTAATACTCGGTGAGTTTAACGCTCATAAACCACTCTGGTTTTCACATTCTCTAAGCTTGAGGAGGATGCAAGAGGAACTGCACTTGATAAAGAAATAGATGACTCAGACCACGTAGTCTTAAATGAGAATGTCCCTACTAGAGTAACCTCCTATTGTGAAAGTTCACCCGAAATAAGTCTTGCAAGTGCCAACCTTGCAATGAATATTAGATGGACCACAGAGTCTTGCCTTGGCTCTGATCATCAGGCAATCGTACAAACACTAACTTGAGATATCGACTTTGTTGAACCAACAAAAAGAACTTTCATTAACTTCAGGAAAGCAGACTGGAAAGGATTTCGCGAATCTACTGAATTAGCTTTTGGCAAATGCAGGTCACCCAAAACAGTGCCTGAAGGTGAAGGTACATTCCGCAAAGGCAGCCAAATGGCACATTCCACATGGCCGCATTGGAACCACACTTTCCAAAACAAGCTACAGAGCTTTCTAACACTGGAGACGAACTTCAATCAATTAATCTTGGTGACACTAATATTTCCCAGTTGATCAAAAAAAACGATGACACTGTTAATAGACACAAACGCGATAAATGGATTGAATCTTTCAATACCCTCACCCACAGAGGAGTTAAAGGAAAACTGTTAACTCTTTAGCGGGCAAATCAGCTGACAACTCACAGAAACAACGCAAACTTCAATAACAAACCAGTTTATGATTCAAAAAAGTGTGCCAATCTCTTAAATCAGCAATACAGCCCTCACTCGCCCTTTCCAAATAAAGAGAAACGCAGCACGCTCCGCAGACTGAAAGAAATACGTCATGAGTGCACTATAATTGTCCCACAGGTCAGTCGTCACAAATAAAATTAAACTGAGCAACAAAAGCAAAGCTTTAGGGCCCGATAATATCGCTTCATTCATCTTCACTATCTCGGTTACAAAAGTATCAAGTTACTTACAGAACTATTATCAATCACTCTCAACTCCTCAATCATTCCCCAAAACTGGAAAGTCGGTAGACTCTTTCCTTTGATGAAACCGGGCAAAAGCAAAGATGAAACAAAAAGCTACCGACCCATAGCCCTCTCATCCATATTAGCGAAATTGATTTCAAAAATCCTGCTGGATAACTTCAACAACATCCCACTGGCAGATCACCAGCACGGATTTCGAAAACACATATCAACAAACACTGCCTTACACTGCATAGTCACTGATATAAGAAACGGACTAAATCAACATCGTCCTCTACACAAAACAATCCTAATTGTTTTAGATCTTACTGCAGCTTTCGACTAAATCACGGTATTTTGCTGCATCATCCTGAAAAGACGTATCTTCCAAACAACTTAAAAAGATGGATAACATCAGCCTGAACAGACGTCTCTTCCAAACAACTTAAAAAGATGGATAACATCATATCAACAAGGCAGGGCGGGCAACTTATGTTGAAATTAGAAACGAAAACTCAAAAATGCGACGAATGAACTTTCAAGTTTTTTTTAAACAAAAATGGAAAAATCATAGAAAAAACCATATCTCGGAAGCCAGAAAATATTGAGCAGTCACAATTGGAGACAAAAATTGCAATCCCTGAGTGTAATCCGACAGCACACCAACAGGGGGTTGAGAATTTCAAGTTCGGTTTTTTTTTTACATATGAGCTTTTTTTTTGAAAAAAATAATATAAAACGCCATATCTCAAAAACCGAAAAAAAATTGAGCAATCATACTTGGTCGCCAGACTTAAAACTCATGAGTGTACCCTGACAGCACCCCACAATGGGGTTGAGAATTTCAGGCTCGGTTATTTCATTTTATATTTAATTTTTTAAACAACGTTTTTTTTAAAAAAAAAACATAAGAATCGCCATATCTCGAAAACCAAAACGATTTGATCAAACATACTTAAAGGGCAAAATTTCAACGCCAATGGGTAACTGACAGGACCTGTCTCAAATTTGAGTTTTTGAAGTTCGCTGAGTTTACAAACTGCCAGCTGAAACCGGGCACGGGAGTTTTGTTTGGTTCTCCGTACCAAAAAAACTGCCCCTCTAGATCAAGGTTCACACAGTACTATCAGCAGGGGGCCTTTCTGTGCTTAGAGAACCCCGGGAAAGCCACAGTTACTGTTTTACGAACGAGACGAAACAATCAATCAATCTCCACCATCTTCGATTAAGGAGTACTGAAAATAAACGGCAATGAAGACACGAATTGGACGACCTCTCTTTTTGAAGCAACAAACAACAACAACAAGGCAAATACCTGAATGTTCTGACTGTTCTTTTATTCATAGTAGTTAATTCGAAAAACTTTTCGAATAGTTTTTGAGAAAAGAAAACATTGAAAATCTATAAATTTTGGACAATATCAAAGTGAGAAATTTTGAGTCGTCGTACGAAATTCATACGACCAATTAGCTAGCCTAATTTCAATTTGGAACGATTTTGTTCTGCGGGATATTTCGCCACGCATAAATAATTCGCGTTACGCTCTTAGTGAATAAACTCTTCAAAGCGCGCATAATTCAGTCCAGAAAAAAGCCAATTTGGCAATTTTCAAACCCTTTGAACTCTACAAAAAATAATCGGTTGTAAGATATCTTTTTAAATTTGAACTCAGGAAGTCGATATCTTCAATGGTGTATAAAAATTTTTGCTGAAAATTATCAATTCGATCGACAAAAATTGACTGAATAAAAAAAAACACACCGAGCATAAATATTCCGTTTTCTTCGAAAGTCGGAACAAAAACAATCATCATTTTTTCTTCAATTTTCTTGACACGTAAAGAAAAAATGCAGCTCAGTCGGTCTATTGATTGCGTGCTGTTTACTTTAAATATAAAATTAGCATAACTCTGCGTTATGATAGTTGAAAGAAGATGTCCCTTTCATGGACTCAGCGCGATCATATGATATCCATACAACCGAAGACTTGAAAAAAAGGACAGTTCCGTTATTTCACTATAAAGAATGCAAAGAAACGAAGCAAAATGTCGAACCTTTTCTTATCCCACGAAATCATTAAAATGATGGTTCCGTCACAGTATATACCCACTAAAAATTTCCTTTTTCGATGTTCACACGTCTTGCACAAAGGTTACTAAAATAATTCCATGGATTACTCTGATGATTGTTCAGACATAATTATGCGATATACATAATCCATGATCAAATACTGGAGAATATTGCACACCATGCTGCATAAAACATGTTTAAGGAGGGAACAAAATTAGGACTTCAAAAATAGTCGAAATATCTTTGAAAACGGATGGTCAGCAGAAAACACTTACGTGAAAAGCCTATCGTTGCAACAAATAAGCCAATTTATAACAACGTTACTAATCTGTTAGAGACGCCATGCTAGTTTCTCCTATTATTTCCCTATGTTACGGTGACTCCGATTAATTTTGAGGCTTGTCTATTTTTGAGTAAATGGGAAAAATTACAGTAACTTTTAGCAACTATTTCGAAAAACAATTATTTCGAAAATTATCATTGAAAAAAAATGAACTATGAATATGGTCGTACATCATGGTTGTCATACCCAACCATTGTGATCAGAGCTTCACTCGAAACCCCCAAAAAATGTGCCAATACCAAAGCCAAGCCAAAGATTCCAGAAAATGGATACGGGGAATTTTGTAATCTATCAACTAGTTCGAGAAATGCTATTGTGAAGTTGTTGGTATTAAAAAATTGCAGAAAGATTGGCCTCCAGTTTCTAGGGAAAACTGTTAACTGCAAAAAATTCAATTGAGCTTTTTATAATTTTTCAATAACGATTCTAAATTGACGAAACAGTTTAAAAAGTCAGCCTCCTCAATTCCATGGTTTGAGTACTGATGTAGATATGCTTTAACAGAGTACATTTTCCAGCATTTGTTTAACAGTTGGTCAATGAGTTTGATATTTGACTGGTTATTCGACAGAAGGAACATTGACTTATCGAAGGGTGGTAGAGGCTTCTCGCTGAATATTCCTTTGCCAGCACTTGAACTCGGTCCTGAAAATCTACTTGTGGAAGGCTGGAACCATTTTGGATATATTTGGGCATCCTTTAGAAACTCTAGCTCTTCCATTGGATGAAGCTTAGATCCTCTCGCGACAATGTGATTGGCTATCGACCTAACATTTGTGTTCCTAGGAGTAACTGACCAATCAAGTTGCTCGTCTATGCTCGAGTTTGTCAGATACATTTGTTTCAAATCTTTCGATAATGTTTCCCATTTTAGTGTCGTAAAATCTATCAACTTCTCGGACATTTGTGGTACGTGATATGCACTAAGTAACTTATGAGTAGGAGAGCACAATTTTGTAACTATCTCTCCCACGTTGTTTGAAAAGTCATGTTCTTTGATACATGGCAAAATGGATCCGAGAATTTGGGTTGCGATGACCTTGTTGATTGAATCGAATGTGACTTTGGTTTCTCCTAGGCGTTTTTCGCACACAGTTTGCATCGCGTCGTTTTGGTGAATGAGAATTCCGTCCGAAACTCGGGTTAAACTAGAGAGACTAAGAAGAGTGTTGTAGTCCTGAAACAAACTTTCCATTAATTCAAGAACAAAAGAAGTGTGATACAAGATCTGCCTTAACTATACTAAATTAATAATTTATGTGGCTAATGTGGCTAAATAAAAAAAAAGCCAACAGCTGGTTGGAAAAGTGTACACAGAGACTAAGCTTCGCTTCGCAAACGCTAGCGACAACACGACAAAAAGCAGCTTTATGAAGTGCAAGGTGAAATCAACCCATCCCCAAGACACGCTATATTACAAGCAACAATAATAAATAGGCCTCGAAATAGCATCATTCGGCTACGTCTGAGATTCGAACAGGCGACCTTGAGATTAAGAGTTACACAAACACACACACAAACACACACACACACACACACACACACACTAACCACGGAAGCATAATAGCAGATAGAAGGTTGAACACTAGCCACAAATAAAGCAGAGGAAAGATGCTATGCAATTTCCAACGCTACAGTGAAACTTCCAAATAATTGAACACTTTTAATAAACTTTTATTGTGATTTAGGCTAGAAAAAAAGCGCGTAATAACACAAAGCTGACGCTATTGTGAAAAAGAAAAAGGAAATCGAATAACTTGAGTTGAATTTTGCAAATTTCAAATTTCCAAAATGAAATTATATCAAGTTACAGATCTTTGAATATCAAGAAATGTTTATGGTTTACTTTTCTCTTCAGGCTATCCCATTTAGGTATAGGTCATTAGGTATTTTTTTATTCCACTGGGAATGCAGAAAACTTATGTCCATTTTTGAAACTAGAAGCCGATCACGTTTTTCATGAACGTTACACTTTTGCTATTCGATAGTCGAGTTTGCCTCTCTTTTAACAAACGAAACAAACTGAGCTTAAAAATAAACCAAAAGTCAAACCATAAAATCTCAAATTTAAGCGTGGAACTTACTTTTCCTGAAGAAAAAATCGAGTCCTATAGAAGTGAAGATCATTACGATCTTTTAGTTTTAGAAACTTCTTTTTATGTGAAGAGCAACACAATATCGCACGCCAACATCAAAACAGGGACGGATAAAAGAATATTTTAGGTTCGGCACTGTATAAAAGTTGAGCCTAGCTTCAAGAACATTTTCAAGGATAGATACACAACAAAAAATAAACGTAGTCTGCATTTTTTTGAAAGATTGAATTATACACAAGCGAAGAAGAGCTTCGCACCATTTTTGATACACCACAAACATAGCATGACAAACTAGTAGACAGAAATTACGACGAAAGCCACCAAATCGAATTTTTCTCTGTGAAAAAATTCAGAAAAGCTAGATCTCCAAAAACTTTTTATATCTTTGCCTCGAAACAATTTAATTTAAAAAAGAAAATCAAAAAATTGAAAAGGACATTTGCATAGAAACAAAAATTGACACAGCGGCGAATTTGCACTTCGCAAACACAAGCAAAAATATGACCGATAACGCTAATGGGAAAAACTGAACGAGTAAAACTTTGAATCTACAAAAGTTCGTAGGTGATGCACGCCAATTATGAGTCTATATTAATGCTAAGTGAAGCAAGCCACTTATGACGCATTAGCAGTACTAGTCAATTTGAAAAAAAAAGAAACTTACCAACAAACAAGCCCCACTGCTATTCGATAGTCGAGTTTGCCTACCTTTTAACAAACGAAATGAACTGAACTTAAAAATATACCAAAAGTCAAACCATAAAATATCCAATTTGAGCGTTGAACTGACTTTTTCCTGAAAAAAATTCAAGTACTATAGAAGTGAAGATCACTTCGATCTTTTAGACTTAGAAACTTCTTTTTATATGAAGAGCAACACAATATCTCACGCCAACATCAAAAAAGGGACGGATAAAAGAATATTTTAGGTTCGGTACTGCATAAAATTTGAGCCTAGCTTCAAGAACATTTTCAAGGATACATACACAACAAAAAACAAACGTAGTCTGCATTTTTTGAATTGATTAAATTACCCACAGGCGAAGAAGAGCTTCTCACAATTTGTGTTACAACACAAATATAGCATGACAAACTAGTAGACAGAAGTTGAGACGAAAGCCACCAAATCGAACTTTTCTTTTTGAAAATATTGAGAAAATCTAAATCTCCAAAAACTTTTATATCTTTGCCTTGAAAATTTAATTTTTAAAGAAAATCAAAAAATTGAAAATGACATTCGCATAGAAACAAATACTGACACAGAAGCGAATTTGCACTTCGCAAAAAAGCAAAAATATGACCGATAACGCTGCTGGGAAAAACTGAATGAGTAAAACTTTGAATCTACAAAATTTCGTAAGTGACGCACGCCAATTATGAGTCTACATAAACGCTAAGTGAAGCAAGCCAATTATGATGCATTAGCAGTACCAATCATTTGTAAAAAAAAAGAAATTTATCAACTAACAAGCCTCAATTTATAGAGCGGACGCATTTCAGCTAGTATACGACAAAGTTCATTAAAAATCCGACTCTGCCCAGGTTCGAACCCTCTTATTTTGTTGCGGGTCTCCTTCCCTACCTCTACGCTACAGATCTATGATACCTTGAAGCTAAAGTGCTATTTGTAATATAATAGTCTGTGTTATTATCCTTAGCATTGGCTGTACTTAATAGCTGGCTATTGATCGAAATGAACACTTTTAAAATGAACACATTTTGTCGCAACACTACTTGCGTCGCAACAATATTTGCGAATTAGGTTGGAAAAAAAGAGAGCTCATGCTGTAACACAAGCTTTGGTTGTGCAAATACAACGGGTATTTTAGATGCAAACATGCTCAAAATATGTCTGGTGGTTGAAAAAAGAGCAGAATTGGATTCCTTGAGTTTGTTCGACATGTTGGAATGAGTTTGATCCGAATTAAACACGCTTGGTAACCGCGAGCACATTCATCGCATACGTAATAATTCAGTATACATTAATGAACGGAGCAAAACGAAATTCAAAAATATATTTTTTGTTTGGAAAATTTTTATCGAACATTTTTTTTCAAAAACAAAATCAAACCAAGATTCCGCAGAAAAAACCTAACTCAAATACCTCTACCAAAGAGCTTCAGCTTTCAAAATTGCATTCGATAATTGAGAAGAAAGCGGAACCTTCAAAAAACCGTGCTACGGAAACTAAGCCGATAAAAATGAACAGACGGACAATAGTACGAAAAAGTTAGTTTAAAAACAACAGGTATCGGCCGGATTCTAACTACAAGCCTTTGTCGTCTCAAGCATGAGTGTTACCGCCAACCCAGATGCGCTGAGTGATTAATTGATTTTGAAATTAAATTGAAGCAAGACAAAAAATCTCCAAAATCTTGTGAATAAATTTGCTCACAGCCAAACCAGAAACTAATTCACTATGATCATAATATTGTCAAAAAAGCCGTCTCTTCAAAGTTTTCGAAAAATTAGGCCCATATTGCAAACTAAATATGCATTTGTGGGAGCAAAAAATTGTTACCCCACATTCTGGGTTTGCTTCCAATAAAAATTGTTGTCCATTACTTGTTGTTGCTCACTTGGTGGCGGAAATTTTTGATAGCAAATCTTTCCCATTCAGGTTTATGGTTGTGATTATTTTCATCATACAGATTACGGCCAATTTCTAGATTTCTCACTTCTGTTTTATGCGTTCAAACAGCAAAGTCCGCTAAGTCTGGGTCAGTTTTGCCTAGGTGTCGTTTGAGTTACAGACTTTCCATGTTACCTTCCAATTTATACAAACAAACGACACTTTCTCAGTTCGTCTTCATTCCTTAAAATTTTGATTCACTCATTCACTCATTCACTCATTGTCAAAAAAGCCGTCTCTTCAAAGTTTTCGAAAAATTAGGCCCATATTGCAAACTAAATATGCATTTGTGGGAGCAAAAAATTGTTACCCCACATTCTGGGTTTGCTTCCAATAAAAATTGTTGTCCATTACTTGTTGTTGCTCACTTGGTGGCGGAAATTTTTGATAGCAAATCTTTCCCATTCAGGTTTATGGTTGTGATTATTTTCATCATACAGATTACGGCCAATTTCTAGATTTCTCACTTCTGTTTTATGCGTTCAAACAGCAAAGTCCGCTAAGTCTGGGTCAGTTTTGCCTAGGTGTCGTTTGAGTTACAGACTTTCCATGTTACCTTCCAATTTATACAAACAAACGACACTTTCTCAGTTCGTCTTCATTCCTTAAAATTTTGATTCACTCATTCACTCATTCACTCATTGTCAAAAAAGCAAGACATAAATTGAAGCAAGACATGTGAACTCCGATAATTGTTCCATTACCACGTATTGCATATTTCTCTTGCTTCAATTTGATTTTGAAATTAAATTGAAGCAAGACAAAAAATCTCCAAAATCTTGTGAATAAATTTGCTCACAGCCAAACCAGAAACTAATTCACTATGATCATAATATTGTCAAAAAAGCCGTCTCTTCAAAGTTTTCGAAAAATTAGGCCCATATTGCAAACTAAATATGCATTTGTGGGAGCAAAAAATTGTTACCCCACATTCTGGGTTTGCTTCCAATAAAAATTGTTGTCCATTACTTGTTGTTGCTCACTTGGTGGCGGAAATTTTTGATAGCAAATCTTTCCCATTCAGGTTTATGGTTGTGATTATTTTCATCATACAGATTACGGCCAATTTCTAGATTTCTCACTTCTGTTTTATGCGTTCAAACAGCAAAGTCCGCTAAGTCTGGGTCAGTTTTGCCTAGGTGTCGTTTGAGTTACAGACTTTCCATGTTACCTTCCAATTTATACAAACAAACGACACTTTCTCAGTTCGTCTTCATTCCTTAAAATTTTGATTCACTCATTCAGTATATATTTTTGGAAAACTATCTCTAAAATCTCACATTAAAGTACAAATCTCGCATTAAAGCAATCAAATGCACATCAATAAATCAAAGAGAAATGAAGTTCAAACCTGTAGAATTATTTCTCCGTTCTTGTACGGCCACACAACCTCTGAGAATATATATCTCTGCGGGTAGTGATCTCTCACAGCCTCCGTCATCTTAGTGCCCAAGCCAGACCCAGTTCCCCCAGCTAGACTCATTGCTACGATAAACGAGGACAGCCTGTGGTCCATCTTTTCAACCACTTTTCTGATCTTGTTCAGAATCTGTTCACTCATTTCATTCCCGTAGTGTGTGTAGCCGAACGCCCAGTTGTTGCCAGCACCTCGCTTTCCGAAGAAAGCAGCGTTTGGATCATAGGACCACGCACTTTTCTGCCTATTTAATATCAGACATGTGAACTCCGATAATTGTTCCATTACCACGTATTGCATATTTCTCAATTGTACGTTTTCTCAATTGTAAAGCACGACGATCATTTATAAAATCGTAACTTGGTTTTCAGATATCCGATTTGCAGGAAGCTTATGGGGTTCAAAATATGATTACTTACTGTAGATTTGGAACGACAACTTTCTCTTCAGTGTCAATCATGACTGCGTTGGCCTCCAGCCTGTAACCTTCAGTACCTCTACTACTTGTTTTCTTCTCGTGGAAGAATGTCTCGCAAGTCTCATAAAAGTAATTCTCATTATCCCGTTTAGTCAGTGAGTTTTCGTACTGGGCAGCTGCCTTGTAGGCCCCACTCAGCAGTTCCTGACCCAGTTGGTTTCCACATTGGCCTACTTGCAGGGCCAAAAGAGCACCCGACATAAAATTTGATTCTGATGTGGTTACATTAGTTGCTATAAACAACCTGAAACAGTCATTTTTACGAGAAACTTTTCAAATTTCAAAGCAACAAGATGATTTAGGATAATTTAGAAGCAGTACACGAAGGTATAGTGACGGCAAATTGGTATTTATTTTCTAGAAAAAAAATCTTTCAAACGTTTAAAAACGCCTTAGAAATGAACGTGAGTTTTGCTTTCATTGTGATGTTATGCAAGTTTCAGTGAACTGAACAATCATTCAATCTATCTAACATGGTAAAAAAAAAGTATTCTAAGTCTCCTCCCTAAACGTAACAAGTAAAGAATCATTCCCTCCCCTCGCACCCTAATCCTTAAATGGCAAAATTAAGCAGTGAAGACAACTTTTATACTGATGGCAGTTAACGGCAGTTATTCCTTTACCTACATTTCACATCTTGAACTGGTAGGATTTGGTAACATATTACCAGAATTGGCAAAATTTAACAAATATTAATTTGATTGTTGGTTGAGCTCTATCTCTTGATACAGTCACGGGACAGACACGCATTGATTTCAACGAGCAAACGAACGAAACTTTTCTTCCCACTTTTGTCGTTTTCTCTGCAACTATTTAGGATATAGAGTTAGAATTTTGACACAGGCTAGATGAAATAAGAGCTAGCCGGATCAACATTTAAAAAATCTTGGTTTCAGGCGCAAAATAGCCGGTATATTATAACTAGTTTTTGCTATGGAAATATCCTCGCAAACAACTTTAAAAAATTTGAATTTACGGACCCAAAATAGTTCTTTGTAAAGCTTGTGAGCTTGACTTACTCTTGATCCCGCGGAAAAACGATGCGAAAACAATTGAAAGAATCACTTGATACGGCGTCCAAAAAGGCAAAATATTTACGAGTAACTTTGCGCTGATGATCGAATTAAACGAAGAATTTTTCCAGTAATAATTTCCGGTACATGACTGCTCCTATCTATGAGCAAGTTTCTCATGAGCAGTTATGTTGTCTCTAAATTTTCTCCAACTTTTAGATATAAGCGCCCAAGATCTTTTAATTTCATCGTCAAAACCAACACGACCGTTTTTTAAGCGAGACAAAATAATTATTTCGGCTCTTTTACACTCCCTCCACAATTCAAATTCTCCGTTTTCTTAATTGTCTGAAGTGTTATTAGGGCTTGAATGCTTGATGTTAAGATACATGGTATGAAGAAAGAATGTGTTCACAATAGTTAAGTTGTTCACTATGCAAAATTTCACGAAGAGTAAGCTCATCAGCTTTCTATATCGAAAAAAAACCGACAAAATTTTTTTAAATAAAGGGGCGACTGAATTAGATGAAAAAACTGTAGGAATGAGAAGCAACCTGGCTAAGATGATGCTAACATATAAGTATTTTTAAAAATAAAATTGTATTGGGAAGTCAAATTCATCAATTTTCGGCTAATTTAGTCTGAAAAACGAAATTTTTCGAACCAGCTTTTCTCGACAGAAATTTTTAATTTTTTAAGAACCCGAATCACGACTAAAATGGTGTTAATATGATACCACACTTGGCACTATACGAGCATTTTTTGAAGTAGTCAAAATCGGCTAAAAAACTCCAAGGATTGTGATTAGCAAGCGTTGTCAAATCAGAAAAATTACTTTATCAGATTAACAACTTATTTTAAAAAATTACTTAAAACAATTTATAGCTTGGTATAGTTAAAATGTCTGGAATTCTCCACCCTACTTATCCTGAGGTAACGACTACGCCTGTGACGGAAAAAGTCCTCGATTCGACTCGGCTAAGACATGTTTTTTTCTACATGAAAACAATCAGTTTCCAAAACTGTCGGCCTATCGTTTGTCAGATTAGGTTTTTTCGATTTAGTTGCCCTGATCAACTTGTATTGCACTTGGAAGTGTCTTCGATTTACTCCTGTGAAATTGTAATATTACTAACCCTGACTTTGCTTTTTCTCGCTTGAAAGCTTCATTCGGCCTCAATGGTTTCTGCCTGTTTTAACAGCTAAGTGACACAACTTTGCGTCAATTCAGTTGATATGACAATCTGTTTCGTAAAAAATGTCATATCGAGAGCCTCACGCAGTAAAGCATGCCCTCCAGATGACTAAAAACCTTCAAACGTCTCCAACCCAATATTATCAGAAGGGTAATTTGGATGAGTTAATTTAAATAGAAAAAACGGCAAGATTACTCGCTATGAAAAGCGTCAATAAAGTAAAAATAAGTAAAAACTGGGATAGATGAGATACAAGTAGCAAAAAAAACTTCCAGCCCTAATATTAAAAAACTACATAATTTTTTAATCTAAATTGAGTCCTGTTTTGGTGGTGGTGTGATGAGAAGACCTGAACAAAAGCCTAGAACTTAGGCAAACTAGTTAAATAGGCAGACTCGACTTTGAAAAAAAAAAAATAGGGTAAACTTTTTATTTCGCTGGGAAGTTTGAAACAGAGGCGAAGCTTCGCACCACTTGCGATACAACACAATCATGAAAAAAGCATGAGTCGAAAAAAAATGAGAAATCTTGAAAAAAACTAGAGTAAGCAAAATTTTTGTATGTCTCCATGAAGGACAACTAGGGCTCAGCTGAAATTGGAGCTCAGTATTTAAACTTTTTAAAGTTATTATACTGACGCAGGACGAAATGCGTTATTTCAAAAATTAGAACTTGCCCAAAACCTTAGTTGAAAAGAGTGAACATTTTGGAGATTTTGGAAATTTCCCAAAAACCTAGCCTTTCTCTAACAAAAAAATTAAGGAGTACCCGTTTCTGCAGGAAAAATTCGCGCAACCACTTCTTTCGATTGAAATTTTTATCTCAGATTTGATAGGGTAAAAGTTTCTATCAAAAAGTCAAATTTAAAAATCAGTCAAAAAATCAAAGTTTAAAAATCAACTTTTTTCTGCTAAACGCAGGTCGTGGCCGGTAAAGCAGGGAAAATCACAAAATCTTGATGGAACACTTAACCTGAAAACTGGCAAGCTATTTTTGAGTCGAATAAAAAATTTCAAAAACGGTCCAATTTTCAAAACTTTCACTTTTTTTAAAGGCCCTTATTTTTTTCTAGAGGAAACTAGGCTTGATAGGGTGGTTTTAGAGAAAATGAAAAGACATATATATCCGTCAAATATTCCCTCCAGAAGTTTTCGAAGGCAGCAGACAAAAGGGGAAAGCAAAAGGGACCAGGGGTGTATGCAGGCACACAGGAATGTAGGCGGTTGTTCTATATATAATCTTGACCTTAATTTGAACACCGACAGAGCGCACTCGAGCTCCAGAGTAAATTTGGGCCAACCAATGTGAACCAAAATTTTTTTGGGAGCAACAAAACGAATTTTATCGTGAACCAATCGAGTTATCAACTTTTTTGACTTTTGAAAAAAATTATTAACTCTGAACAATTCAATTTTATACGCACGCTCTGCCGACTTTTTAGCTCATTTTTACAAATTGATAATTTTGTCATTTCGAGAAAAAAAATTTTCAATGGTCGATACGTTTTCGAATGGACAATACTTCAAAGTGCTCTAATATAATGCTCAGAAGTTCAATGAAAATGTGTATTAACAGAAAATTTCAGATTGAAAGATTATGTCTCGTGAGGAAACGATTCCAATTCACTTTGATGACTTCCCAGCTCTCTCACAGGCAGAAATTGCTGAAATTGAAGATATTTTGACTCAAGATATACTCATGGAGCAAAACAGATAACCATCAGCTTCTGTACAAGAATTTATTCTTGGTGAAACATCTGTTATAAATATACCTTATTGTGAAACAAAAAACGAAGAAAATCTTGTGCTATTGCCTGATATTGCCGAAGAAAGAAACACAGACGGTATCCTGGAACTGCATCAAAATGAACGCGAAGCTGATGCAAATGATGACGCAATGGGAAATCAGGCAAAACGTACGAGACCAGTTCAAGCGAAACATCAGTCTTGCTTGTTGTGTCAGAAAGTTGCGAGTGATATGCGGAATCATTTGGTACAAGCTCACGGCTGTGATCGCGAAAGTAGAAAGTGGTTATTGTCCTACTACAGTACCAGGCGAGCGAAAGAACCTGTGTTTCAGTGCAACCATGAAAAATGCTCGAAACGGTTTACAAAAGTGTACGCTCATAAAACATTTTCCCGGTCATTCTGAATATGTATCAAAAGTGAACAATAAGATGTCATTAGAAAAAATTCCAGCAAAAATAAGACAAGGAGCAGGGAATAAACTGAAAAGCTCACATTCTTTAAAACCAAAAAATGCCCAGTATAGTGATTTCTATGCAGAAAAATACAAGAAACCGATATTAAGCAGAGCCATGATTACAATTCTTTCTAAAACGTGTTCGGGAACCCAAAATTTAATCAAACCTTGGAAAATTCAAACCGTATTGGAAACCTGTATTGATAAACCTTCGATACAAATTGTGCGGGATTCGTTTATTGCGAAATACGGCTCAGAAGTTGCAACTGATAAAAAAGTGATGCGAGTTTACATGAAGGTTTTTCAAGCTTACCGCAAATGTTTTTGAGAAAAATTCATTGGAATTCAACACAAGACATAACAAAGAGGCTAAGCTATTCCTCGCAGTTCTGCACAGAGGCCATGATATTCCTCGTTGTACTGCAAACTTATATAAAAAACTGACTTTGTGTTCCTCGAAGTTATAATTTTTCGGCAGAACGCACGCAATAATTATGCTTTACTGCTGATCATTTTCAACTTAGATCAATTATGATTGCTGATAAACAGTTAAAATTTCATGTTCTAAAGTGTACTGAGTTGATTTGTCACGAAAATTTAATATACTGTCTCTCGGTAGAAATTTTAAAAATTTCGGCACAGCGCACCTATAATTTGTAATTTAATAATTTTTCCATTGAACTTTGTTTTTGGTATTGGTAAACTTTTGAGCTTTGAAATGCTAAAAATCTATCCATGGAAGTCAGTTGGAAGAGTTACAGTGATCACCGACGAGCCGCATTTCGACAAAACAAAAAAGTTTCCTAAATTCGGCAGAGCGCACGCATAATATCGTTTTTGACGGCAAAGCGCACGTATATATAGCTGATAATTTTTTAAACCAGGCTAAAATTTTAGTTGACCTAAATATAAAGTTTTATTCAGTCCCTAAGAACGATGGAAATCCGGTGTGATAAAAAAGGGAAGCAAACAATTTATCAAAAAATCCGTTCCCAAAAAGTTCGGCAGAACGCACGTATTAACTTTTTTCGGCAGAAAGCACTCTATAAATATTGTAACTTCGGCAGAGCGCACCCGACTAAGATTTTCTTCGTTTTCTGTTTCACAGTCTGATATTTAGGTTTCAATGCATAGAACGGAGTTAAAAACCTCACATCAATAAGCGTTTATGTCCAAATGTTTCAAGCACATTAACGCATGGCCCTCGGAATAGTCAAATTTGTTGACTTTTTGAATCTTTTCAAATTTTTCTCAAAAATTAACCTCCCAAAATCGTGCTGAGGTTGTGGGTTTAATGGAGACAAGGAGAAGTGAGAAGCTCTCATGCATTAGCGATATTTTTTTCCGAAGCTACCGGAAATATTTCTACCGAATTTCACAAGAATATATGTTTTTTGTATATGTTTATATGTATGAAAAATTATGTTTTTTTTTGCAAAACAAAAAGTATTAAAATTTTCCAAAGTGTCTCAAAAAAATAAAATAAAAAAATCCTTGCACTTTCATAATACCTGTTTTTATCAAACAGGAATTCTAGGCAAACAAGCCAGGCAAGACGAAAATGAAACTTGACGAGGTAAAATTTCAAATTTTTAAGAACTTTAAATAATTTGAAAAAAAATATGAGAGTATAGTGTGTCGCGTGATTTTCGAGTGTTCCCAGCAATGTTTCAAGTTACCAATGTTTCCTACAAATATACGTCCTAAATAAGTAAATCTTCATTTCGTTCACCAAAATTTAGATGTCTTATATTTTAGTATAAAACGAGTAGTTGAAAAAAGTTAGAATTAATAAAATGAACTCTAAGCAAAAACAAAATTCAAGTTCACCACAAACTTGTGGTAGAGGTTAGTTTTAGGGGCCCAGTGGCCCTCAAAATGACGTCAAATAAACCATCGAGCAACTCATTGTCAAGAATCTTGTGAGAAGACGCATTCAAAGCCATATAGGTTCTGTCCAAATCACAAAGAATTATCTCGTTATTGTACAATAGGTTCAGACTACGCAATTCGTTGTACAGCGAGTCGAAACCTTTATGGACTAAAATACAGTGCTGGTGAGACAACAAATATTGGGGTGGCTCTCCCGTTATTTTCATCCGTTCTATCATCGAGATGTAGATTCCAGGGTATGAGCCGGTTATTACATGCACCGCCCACTTGCCATTAGCGGGGTCGTTTATAGTGTGTCGCGTGATTTTCGAGTGTTCCCAGCACCTGTCTGAAGGGGGTTGCGGCTGTGGTAGACCGGTTGGGGGAGGTGGAAGGGCTGAAAACTGGGGATGATTTAGAACATAAAAATGGTATATCGAATTATCAAGTTCACGGAAAAAAAACGAACAAAATTTGAACTTTATGTGAATACAAACCTTTCTATCTGAATTTTCAGGCTGCTACTCTATCGCTTGTGAAAATCAAGATGCAGTACTTTAACAATATTTCAAGCTATTCTTTGAAATTAGTCAATTAGCTATTCTTTTAATCAAGGTGGGACCGGCTGGGCTGCGGCAAAATGGATGATATCTCCCTCCCCCAAGGTTGGTCCTGCAGAGAGCAGGACCGGGGGCTAATAAAAAACGAGATAATCTATTACCAGTGTTAATGGAGAAAATTATTTTTAAAGCAAGCAAGCGTACCTGCCATACTAGAGATTTTGGGCATGCTTTGCCCGGTGCTTTTGAAGCTAGGAAAAGGACTGTTAGAGATAGATGGTGCCGCCGGACTAATCACTGCCACGTTTGGCTGAAAACACGAGGCCGGAATCAAGTAAGTCGGCAACTGTGACGGAAACACAGACCCACTACCTCCTAAACTATTGAGCGAACTTGGTGTGTTGTTTCCTACTGGTTGGGCAGCGTCGCCTGACAGTGAAACCAGCTTAGAAGTTAAAGCTGAAGCAGAGGCTGTGTGATTAAGCGGTGGAGACTTGCTCGGAGTCAAATTAGCCGATTTATCTCCAGCGGCCGAAATCAGAGAGCGACTGGGTGAGATCCGTGAGCCTATATTGAAGTGAGGTGAGTTCATGGCATTTGTCGGCCTGTCGACTGACGGACTAGCGAACATGTGACTAGTCTCTGGACGACTGCTCTTCATGGCGAAGTCCAACTTCTGGTATCTAAAGTGGAAAATTTGCAGTCTGTGAAGATTTCAGCTCATTGGAAATCGAACATTCTTACAACACGATTCTGATATTGATCTGATGAATTAGTTTTCATTATCAATCGTGACCATATGATTAGACCACTCAGACAAAAACTGCGGATATTTTTTCTTCAAAAAGTCTTGGAATAATCTGTTGATCTGATGAACATACTCACCTAGAGCATGGTGGAAAATGTTTGATTGCATTCGATGTTCCGTAACTCATTTCCTGGTACTTCGCAATCTTACTCTTTAACAGTTTATCTGACAAAGATTTTCCCTGGTCTGAAAGTTGCACGAAGAGTTGTCTCGAATCCACATGGACTAGTTTACAATCTAGAACTATGTCTTGATATTCGTCAATTTCAGTTTTCGCTTCTGGAACCCATCGTAATGTAGATCCACTGGGAGCCAGACGTGCTAAGGACACCTAGAAATTGACAAACCATTTTATCAGAATATTGAACTTATCGATCATTTTTTACTTTCTCCAACAATTTTATCTATGATACAACATACTAGGATCCAGGATTTACCGAAAAATTAAAACAGAGGCAAAGCTGAGCAGCGCACCAATTGCGACACGAATATGAATGACTATGATTAAAATGAAACGGAAAAAAAATGGGAAAAAAATTGACAAAATTATTTTGTCAATACGAAGTTTCAACAAAAGACCAAAATATCCAGAACAAAATTGCCTTCATCATTAGAAACGATAGAAAGAGCTTTGGGAATGTAAGAAAGAAATCAAACTTTCGAAAACAGTCATTTCTGCGGAACTAAGCCGACGAAATTAAGCAGACCGATAAGAATCTAAATTAGCCGAAAGTTTTTTATCTGCAAGAAAAACAGTTCTCGAGTGGAATTAAACTCCCGGGCTTTGTCATCTAAAGCACGAGGGTTGCAGCAACATGGAAGTAAGCTGAATCTTCAAAAACTCAGGCTACGGGAACTATGACGACGAAAATAAACAGATAGCTCGAAAAAGCACAAAAACACTAGTTTGCAAAACCAACAGGTCTCAAGCAGTTGTGTCACCTCTACGCCAGATGGTTGATTGAATTTGAAATAACAATTACCAAGGTGTAACAAAGCCGAAAATACCTGAGCAGAAACCTTTGAAAAAAATTCCAAAAACTCTTAGCTAATAAAAAAGAAATTATGCCCCTTATCATCTCGGAGCATCAGCACGCACACAAAAACTTTTTTCGATTTCCAAACCACGCATTAGGAGGCCGCTAGGTCGATACAAATTAAGTCGTAACTTATTAAGCAGATAAAAAAAACATAAAACGAAAAAAAAATTGCAAATCGAGTTGGTAAAATTACAACCAATGTAGAAACCAATTTTAAGTCGGCCGGATTTTTAAAATGCCAAACATTTAAAGCAGCTACAGTGAAAATTGTTTACAGCAAAAAAACTATTCTTAAATGTGGCAACTAAGCCGACAAAACATAAGCAGACAAATAATAGGCGTGGAAAAATAATTTTTGAGGCGTGGAAAAAATTTGATTGAATATGCATATACGCCGTTTCTATTCATAATTTAGAAGGCTGAGACTAAAAATTCCTGCAAAGAGCAAGTGTTTAAGGCGCCGTAACAGATGTCTAGCATAAACTTTAATTTATTAATAGGTTTTTAGGGTGACCTTTGGTAAATAAAGGCGATAAATTACTGAAAATTTAGAGCAAAAAACCCATACTTGGCTCACCTGAATCGCTTGCATTGGAAGTTGAATAAAATCTTCATGGAGAGCCAAAATGTCATTGCAATCAATCTGATCTTCATTTCCATAATCAACATACAAAACCACACATTTTTTCGAAGCTGTTAAAACATTCAAAATGATGGCTCTGTAATGTAGAGTTTCGTATTTTGCCACACAGCACTGACCGATCGAGAAAAACGTGTCGCTCACTTCGTAAAGATGTTTTCGACTCTCGTCGTTGTAAAGGGCACTCATTCGTTGGTTCAAATCGTCTAAGCTAGACGAAAACTCCTCGCCGCAAATCTGCACTACAAGATTAGAAGGGTTTTCACAATGAGCTAAATACACTTTAGAAATGATGTCAGCTGAAAACTCGATTTTTGCATACTCGTAATATGAAGTAATCGGTTTATCGAGGGGTTCGCTTATTTTTGTTATCGGAAACCCCATAGATGTTAGACCTCCAAGAGGGTTGCTACCAATGACCAAATTAGATGTCATAACTTGGGTTGGAATTGTCTTTGAGACTTCGTCTGCCGCACTCGGAGCCCATGGACTTTCACTAGGCACTGCTGGATTTACTGGGACTGGTGACGGGAACTGATTTGTAGATGCGGTTAAAACAGGTGGCGGTACTTTCTCCGGTAGAGGAATAGCTCCGTCCAGCTTCATGAATGTCGAGTTGGTGGCGTCCACCCAGAATCTAATGACATTTCCAAGTTCATTTGACATGTACTCTTGGACGTTTGAAAACCCCAGTTGCGGCATCGCATGATACGACAGAGAGTAGCCGAACGTGTGTTGAAACTCTCCTTCGAACTCATCTAGCGGCTGATCTGTGGGGTTTGCATGTAACAACGTCAGAACATTGTTGCGGACTAGTTCTGGGGTTAAATTGGTGGGCGGGACAAAAGGCGCTTGGCCATTACCATTGAAGTTCTTGTCATTCCTGCGAAACATTCGTGATCATAAAACTTTGCAGTTTACAAGAGCGAACTTCATTTTACTGTGAACTCCAAACTCGCTATAATTCAAACTTAATTATAATTCCGATAGAGCAGTTGATATTTCAGGTTGGTACTTCAGATTGTTAGATGTACTTTACAATTTAAAATCTCAGAAGAGGTCGATCTAGAATCACGAGTTGGACCATTTAAAGCACTAGCCGTCCCTGTGTCAAGTTGAGATAGACAAGATTGTCGTTCATTTAAACAAACTTACCGGGAGTCCAAAGGTTTCTTGCTTTTAGACCTCGTCGCACCTTCACTTGCAATTCTGCAGTCTGAAATGACAATTACTTATTCTACATATTATTTTAAAGATCATTTGACTAAAATGCAAAATACTGTGCTTCGCAAGTATTTTTGGAGCAACACTTAGATCTCGCGAGGAACAACAATTTGGAACAACAATTTGATCTCTTTAAGGAACATAATTAAATAAAGCCAGCATAAGAAACCATAAAATACAAAATCTCCTGTCACATTTTAAACACAAGACTCGACGAAAAAAATGAGGTGGAAAGAAATTTTCTATCCTTATTTTTTCCGTTATGGTACCATTTTAGGAACACCCGAAATTCGTATACCACAACATTTTTTTTCAACATCTTTTTTTGAACAATTACCTGCATCACTACATGAATACTTCAAAAGAATTTTGAAAGAAATTTAATTGAATTTTAAATTTCAATGAAATTCGTTTACCAGTCACTTGCTCGTTTATCAGTGAACGAGTGAAAAAAACATGATTTAAGTCGGTGCTGTGGCAACCAAACCGATAAAAATAAGCAAACAAACAGCAGTACGACAATTTTTTACGAACAGAAAATTCTTTAATTTGCATAAAAAACAGATCCTTTTTCGCCCAGGCATTCACGTTATCTCTTCGCCATTTAACCAGCTCAAGAGGCTGAATTTTAATTGAATAAGATACAAGCTATCAACTGATTCAGTGATTCTGTTACACAAATTGGTAAACCTGAAAAAAAACTAAATTCAGATTTGATAATAATGCTAATCACTGGCGTAATGTAAAGCCAATCAAATTAAACAAAACTATAACTTGCCGATTTTCTGTCCTCCCAAGTCATTGCCATGAGTGCCGTCCACAGCCGCACGCGCATTCTTCTCATTCGTGTACTGGACAAATCCGAAGCCCTTGTGTATGGACAGGCCAGTGATGGGTCCAAACTTCTTGAACATCTTGTGGAGCTGCTCCTGCGTCACAGTCTCTGTTCTCAGGTTGCCCACAAACACACGCGAGTCTGCTAGCACAGGGTTGTTCGTGTTAAAAGAAATATTGGCGAGAGCTCCTGATTTCGGTTTCATCGCCATCTTTGTTAGCATAATCAAACCTGAAAAGAAATAAATTTCAATTAAATCTCACAAAAGCAAGTACAATTTAAAGTTAATATTCGGTACGAATCAGTATTTCTAACAATTATGACGAACGGAGAAAAACTTCATTTCGGGAAGGTTAAAGGCTACCTTCAGGCGCGGATATAGGATTTTATCTTGAGGTCGGATTATCAAAGATTCAATCCAAACCCAATGCTGGCTACCTTAGTTTCTCCAAAAAGACTAGAATAATTTCTTCAGAATGGACACCTTAATTGTTATACAGACTACTTCATTGATTCAGAGCCAAAAATGGTAAGTAAAATTATACTGAAATCAAGTTAATCAGAACAGGTGCCTCAGTGTCTATGCTACACGCCCCTTTTATCTCTACTGTCTACTTGAAAGTGTTTCCAGGGAGCATAAAACAGTCGCATCACAAGACACATTTGCACGCAACATCGCCAAAAAACAAAAGACTGGTAAGTGCAATTTGATTCTTTAATAGGACCAAATTATTAAACCACCCACAAATAGCAGCTGTTATTTATTTGGTTACTGGTGACGACCAAAGCTTGCTTTAAAGTCTGATAATATCTGTTTTGATTGGACATAAACATAGTAAAAGACTTCAGATAAAAAAAATTAAAACGCATTTGTACACCTGAATAAAATAAAAGCACGTAACAAGCTTATTGCAATCCAAGACAAACATTTGACAAAACGAACACACAAAGCTGGCTCAAAAGTCATTGTGCACCATTTGAACCAAAAACAATGTTTATTGTCCGGATTAAACATGAGAAACGAGGCCAGCGTTACTTTAGCATGAAGATTTGCTAATAATACAACTACTTCTCTTTTCAATCTGAGAGGTAGTGAAGCGGTCTTAACGTCAAGATGCAGAGCCTCGGAGTATCTGTTACGTTTCTGGAGAGTTTTATTCGGGAAAGCTTAACAGTTATCAGACCGAAGACCGAGGAGGGTTCCCAACCTGTATTGAGTGAGGCAGCCAGCATGAATGAGCCCAGAGATCAAGGGGTGAAGGAACCAGTGCACATGAACATGTTTGAGCTGATCGAGAAAGTTGTGAAGCCTCAGACAGCGACGAAACAATCGCGGTTTGTTGAGCTACACCACGGAAAGGTCAGTTTTAGTTCTGAGAACAACTTCCAGTACCCATCAAGCTTTTCTGATTCTTGTGCTGCAACTTTGACTAGCTCTTAAGATGAAGCTGTCACCTTTCAATAACCTTTGATCTGATATTTTCCCTAACTTTTCACTACCAATCAGCTATGTCTGTTTCTATTCGCTCTTATACCTCACAACTTAATCTAACTGTAAAATTTGTTTAAAAAACTATCTGATCTTTAAGGTCGACCCTGGTGGGAAACCATATGTCAAAGAGGCCAACATATTCGTGTCTTACCCATGGAGTGCCGATGTCATAGAAGTTATGCAATGCCTGCTAGACTTCGCCGCACGAAACCCTCTAGGAGCGGGAAAAGAGTGCTACTTCTGGATGGACTGTTTTGTCATCAATCAGCACTCCGTCAAAACCAATATGAGCCCAGATAGCCTCGAGGACTACATGGACAAAACCATCCGAGGATGCGGACACATGGTGCAAGTAAGATGATCGACTTATTGCTCGGGATTGATTTGGGACTTTTCTCTTACACCTATTAACTTGTCAATAAAAGAACTGTTATACAAGCGTCCGCTTTCTTATTTCAGAGCTTAAATGCCAAAATCAACACATCAAGCTTATCAATAAAGGATTTCGTGGAGTCCCACAATTGAGATAAGAGTTGAAAAGGAGCCACGCACAATTTGCGATTCAAAAACGAATGACTATGATTACTTGCAAATGAAGCGACAAATCAAAAATAAACTTAAAAAATCGTTTTTGGTTCAAAAAATTAGAAAAATCTTATGACACATACTTCCACTTTAAGAAATTTTACGTAACCATTCTGAATGTAAGAAATCAGCTGAATCTTCAAAAAAACCCGTTCTGCGCTGAACGAAGCCGCAGAACTTAAAATAAGCAGAGAGACGACAGTCTATGTGATTTTTACTCTTTAAAACCCAGAACCTTTGTTTAAAAACAAATTTTAAACAATTTGCGCAATTTGTTGCAGATTTTATCCTTCTTAAACTTTGTCGGGCTGTGTAAGAGGCTTCTTGTGATATAATTTTCTTACCAATTAACAAAGTAGTTTCGGCGTAATTCTTGATTAATTGAAAAAAAATGACCCATATTTGGGGTAAAATTTTGGTTGAGAGTTACGGAGAAAAAAATGCACCATAATAATTCTGATGAAATTCTAAGCCACTTTTGTTCTCTTCACTTTTTGTCTAATCTTAACCTAATTTGAGAAAAACGTTTAGTTCGTTTTGTCGGGATGCTTTAAATCAGCACTGTACCATTTCAGGTACTCACCAAGTGGACGTCTCCGGTTGCTTTCAAACGCCTCTGGTGTGTTTTTGAATGCTTCATCGCCGAAAAATGCGCAATACCAGTTTTCTTCGTACAGCCCCAAGAGGAAGAAAAACTATTGATTAGGTGCCTCCTCGAAAAAGGCATTGGTTCATCGAACCCTATTGCTAACCAGTACTTCAAAGTGGACTCCCGAAAAGCAGCTGCAACTCTAGCAGATGACAAAAAGGTCCTTGAGGATGCCATTGAAATGTACATCGGGTATGGAAAACTGAACGAAGTCATCAAACAACAATTGCGCAACTATCTGACAGACACTTTAAAACGAACAATTGCAGATGAAAAAGAAATAAACGAGGATCCAGTACAACTGGCGCATCATGGGAGCCTGATTCTCTCTCTTGGCATTTCAGACACTACCTATTTGATAGATCTGTTCCAGAAATGTCTCAAGATGTTTGAAGAAATGGGAAAAGACCAGTGGAATCCAGACACTGTCATGTGCTACACAAACCTCGGTAGCGTTTGCCGCGAGGGCAACTTGACTGACGAGGCACTCCAATACTTGTTCCAGGCACTCGAATTAGAGCAAAAACGCATTGTGGTCGAAAGACGGAAAGTGAGTACGGTTCTGGCCGATATCTACTATCAAATTGGGGGCACTTACATTCAGAAAGGCAAGTACAGAGAGGCTTTGGATGTTCTCTTGAACGCCAATGAGATTTACGAGCAGCTAGACGAGGAACCTGAACAGACCATGAAGACTCAAAGGAAAGTTGCGGCGATCTACAACAAGATGGGGTTGTACCAGGTCGCCAAGAAAGTGTTCTCTGACATAATTGAGTTTGCATCTGATCAAAACTCAATTCCAGTTGCACTTGCTCGTTTGGAAATGGGTAATGCCAACTAAAATTAGGTTGAATTCGTTCTTTAACAAGAGAAAATTAAGACAATGATATTTTCAGCTGATGTTTTGGTGAACGAAGGAAGTCACTACTTTGGAGCTCTCGAAGTGACAAAGGCTATAGAGGTCCTTGTCGAATTCCTTGGGAACGAGTCTACTTTGGTAGTTGAGGCCTACAACAAGAGGGGAGAGATTTATAGACAGCAAGGAAAGCTGGAACAAGCCCGAGCAGATCAACTGAAAGCGCTTGACGCGTTGCAGCACATATATGGAAAAGATCATCCCAAAACAGGTAGCCTTTTCTTGTTTTATGTTTCGGATCGCCTTTCCCTGCGGTTTGAAAAGCCTAAGCAATAGATGATTTTGCGCGCGTTTTTCATTTAACAAAAAAAAAACATTTTATTCTACCAAAAACGATCAAACTTTAACAGTAAAATAGAGACTAGAAGATTCGGCTTGTTTTACTATAGCATAATATCTTGTTTTATTCGCGTATTTAGGACGCACGCTGGGATATTTGGCGTCGATCAAGAACTCAATGGGTGACTTTGAGGGATCCCTCGATGGGTTCTTCACTGCACTGGATGTTCTGAAGGGGTTCAGCACGGAAGACATGTCAGAGGAGATTGCGAAAGTTAATTGCAGCTTGGCAGGAGTCTATCTCAAAATGAACAAACACGATAATGCATTGGAATGCCTAACAACTGCACTCTCGATAAGGTTTCACAAAAAATCTAACTGTCTCGTGGCTGATTGAAATTCCAGAAACATCCATAAAGCCTAGGACTAATAAATTATTCTTGTCTACATTTCTTATGAGCTTTTTGACAAAATGTGAAACTCAGAAAGGTAGAAAATTTGGTTGCTTATCTTCAAGTTAATTTGCACAAAATTACAAGTAGATATTTGAACGTTTAGGTCAAAATTAGTGGGCGAGGAGCACCCAGATGTGTCGCCAATCTTCTTTGACATTGCCAAATGCCATATTGGAATGTTTGAGCGAAAAGAAGCCATTACATTTTGCGGGAAATGTCTCGAAATTGAGCTGCGGTCTTTAGGAGATAAACACCCTCAAATAGGTGCGGTACTCGCTACTACATTTCTGTTTCTATCATACATTTTCATTCAACACTTACACGGGCAAAAAATGGCAAAAGGAAACTAGAAACTTTAAAAAAAAAAACTATTAGTTAGGTTTCCACACGAATTTCGCAAAAAGTTAAAGCAAGCTCAACGGAAACTCGCCACAAATAAAAAACTAAGCCAACTGACAGTTGGGAAAGAGCAATGAACGCAAGGAAACAGAAAAAAAAAACTGAATTGTTTTGAAAAAGAAAGAATTTTAGAAAGAAAAAATATATGCCCTTAAAGCTCTTCGAACTTCACGAACAAGTTATGATTGGTGCTCTTTTGATAAAATTAACCCACTTTGAGAAAAGTGGAACAATAGGTAAACAAATTTTTTCGCTGGGAAATCTGATAAATTTCTTTTTCGAAATTAGAAGTCGATCACGTTTTTCGTGACCTTTACACTGTTTTTGTTCGATAGTGGAGTTTGCCTTCCTTTAAAAAAAAGAAATGAAGTGAACTTAAAAATAAATGAAGTCAAGGGGCGCAACATTAAAAAAATGAGCGTGAACAAACTTTAAGATTTTTCCTAAAAACAAAAAAAATCACCAAGACCTATAAAAGAGAACTGACTACGATCATTTCTCATAAAAGACGCTAGAGAGTCTCTAAAAACGCTAGAAAACTTTTTTTTGACATTTTGTTCCCTTCCTTGATCGAGTTTCTTTGAATTCGAGTTTTGCTTGCCTTACAGCTATCTAGCCTCAATTTTTAATTACAAAACTGTAATCTAACGCGCTCGCCGCTGCAGCATTACTGTCCATCTTTAACTGCGACAATTTATCAATAATAAATGCTTTTTGCATCAATGTATCAATGTTTATTCGAGTCTTCTGATGGTACTGCTTTCAGGAACTAGCTTTTGTTTGCTGGGCGATCTGTACAAGGAACATAAGAAATACATTCCAGCATACGAAGCATACAACAATGCTTACCAAATATGGTCACACACGTTGAAGCCCAATCATCCCCATTTGGCTAAACTGAAATCGACCATTGACGAGACTCTTGTGTTGGTGAACGCAAAAGAGAGAAGACGACAAGGTATACAATTTTCATCAAAAAGTCTTCTTCTCTTCATAACAAAATATAGAAACACATGGCCAAAAAAGTCTTCTCTCTTCATAACAAGATATAGTAATACACGGCCAAAATTGTTCTTATAAGACGCTACCGAATTACAAACGCAATATCTTTTATGATTTTATACCTTTCTCGTAATATAGCACTTCCTCGTAGGTTTACAAAAAAATAAGTTGGGAAAAAACTTTGAGGGCAAATGAACATTAATGATAAAATGCGCATGAACTAATTCAACATCACATTAAAATTATTTTCATCATTTCAAGGTTCAGAATGGAAAGATCAGGTAACCTATATTGAAAAAAAAACCAAAATAATCAAAATTTTCAGAAGTTTGACTCGAATGAAGATGAATCGGGAAAACATGTCGAAAGAAACAGTTGCCAGCATTAAATTAAAATTAAGACAACAATTATCAAGAGGTAACTAAGCAGAAAATACTTGGGCAGACGCCTGTTGAATCAGAAAATGTTTTAAAAACTTTGAGCTATAAAAATCTGATTTTGCCTTCAAGCAAGGCAATGCGAGGCCACTAAACCAATACAACATACGCCGAAATTATTTAGACCTAAAATGTTCAAAGCAAAAAAAGATAATAAAGAGGAAAAATTAGTAGCTGGTTCATGATAACTGGGATTAGAATGCAAAAACTGGTAGCTAGAAATTGATTTTCTTATACAGTATACCGATGAAATCTGTAAATACAAATGTTAACGGGTAAAAAAATCATAGCGCCCTTTTGCAATACCCTTGCTTATTTTGAAACGAGAAAAAAACCAAGTTTTACCACAGGCGAAGCTGTAACTTCGCAAACATCCACAGGAAAGCGGCATAAGGGAGCTTTAAAATGCACAAAACACAAAATTTGCATGTAATCTTTTGGAATGTAAAAATCTACAGGCAACCACGCAAACTTTGAAAGTAAAAAATTGGATCGTACAAAACCAAGTTGTGTGTAAATAGGGCATTTTAAAATATTTCGCGATCAACATGAAATTGAAATGTTATCAAATGTTGTATGAAGCAAATCGTTTTAAGGTTCATTTGATGAGTGAAATAGCATCAAAAGTGTTAACTTATTAGTAATCATTTTTCACATGCTATTAAAATAACCATGGTTCAAGACATGCAAAAAGAACACCGCCAAATCTAAGGCACTAATATTTGGTACTTAGCTTAGAAAAATGTTGCCTTGTAGCATCACACTACGCTTCGCTGGTGTAAATAGAGGGCGAAGCTGTATTTTTTATTACTCCCCATTCAGAAAAAAAAACATTTGCCACTACAAAGACAATACAAGGCAAAAACAAAACAAAGAAGAAAAGTTTCGTGAAGTTAACAAAACAAAGAGCAAGTGTTTTCTGATGTTCTCCTAAGTTCTGAAGTTACTGAAATTGTGATCAGGTTGTGCGTTGTACCAAAGTAATAGTTCAAGCAGTCATGATATCATAACTAAATCATAAACATAGCCAATCGAAGATCGGAAAAGAGTAATATACACAGGTAAACAAAAAAACCACTGACGTTCTAGAAAAAATCTCAACTTTCGAATTTCAAAGAAAAAAATATATGCCCTTTAAGCTCTTTGAGTTTCGACAACAATTTATGATGGGCGCTTTTTTGATAACATGAACCCAACTAGAGAAAACCGGATCAATAGTTAAATTTTTTATTCCGCTGGAAATCTTAAAATTAAATTCCACTTTCGAAACTACAAAATCCTTCACGTTTTTTTGCTCTTTTTCCACGTTTGTATTTGGAGAGTGCTATTTACATCCTTTTCAGCAGATGAAGTTCAATTGAACTCAAAAAATGCATATATATCTGAGTGCATTCATAAATGCATCAAAATGTATGAATGCACATCTGTAGTTATTAGAGACTTTTCCTAAAAAAAATTCAGCAAGACCTATAAAAGAGTCTTGACAACATTCATTACTCTAAACAACAAAAGCAGTACAGAGTACAAATACACAAAGAATTACCATAGAACAACTAAAAACAAGAAATCAGACACACGCTTACACATTTTGAACAGACTGGCGCGAAAAAACGTGAACGATTTCTAGTTTCGAAAGTGGAATTTGCTTTTTAGATTTCCAGCGGAATAAGAATTTTATCTATTTATCCAGTTTTCTCTAGTTGTGTTCAAGTTATCAAAAAAGCGCCACTCATGAATTGTTCTAGAAATTCAAAGAGCTTAAAGGTCATCTATTTTTTCTTTGAAATTCGAAAGTTGACACTTTTTCAAGAAGTCAGTGTTTTTTTAATGTTTACTTGCGTTCATTACTCTTTTCCAATCTTCGATTGGCTATCTTTATTTGGTAGCAAACATTAACAGAAAGCTTTTGACAGACAAACAGCAAATTGGAGAAACTTAAAAAACTCAATCAGATACTTATATTAGCAACTTTTTACCAGCGGTCATCATTGTACTTATTTTGAGGCGCAAGCAAAAAACATTACTAACACACAGCTGGAAAATAGTCAAACTTGTTTGAACTTCTTGAACAACTTAGAACTGACACAATTTGATAAAACTAACTCAATTTGAGAAAACATGATCAATAAGTAAGACTTTCAGTCCGTTGGGAAATCTGAAATATAAAATCCGCTTTCGAAACTAGAGGTCGATCACATTTTTCGTGACTTTCACACTTTTTTTCGGAAGTAGCGTTTGTCTTCCTTTCAACAAAAGAAATGACGTCAACTTAAAAACAAATCAGAGTCAAACTGCAAAAAAAAATCAAATTTGAACGAACAAATTTTAAGTTTTTTTCCTGAAAAAAATCACAGCCTATATAATAGCAATCACTACATTTATGATTCTTAAAAACCACCTTTTATTAAATCTTAAAACCATTTTAAACTTCAAAAAACGCTAATTTTCCCGTTGAAAATACAACTGCCTCTCACGAGAAAGCGGTAAGCTTTTTTCTTGTTTAAATTTTATGCTCACTCGGTCAATTGAGTTTTTGAACAGAGTAACGCATAACTGCTAAACTTGACACAGAGGCAAAGCTTCGTTTCGCACACACTAGCGATAACACGACAAAAAGCGGCTCTATAAAGTGCAATAAGAAAAATTAGAAATAAGACTCGAATTAGTAAACACTAGCTAAAAAGATAGTAGAGAACAGATGCTATGCAATTTCCAATGTTACAGCGAAATTTCCAATTAAGTGAACACTTCTAATGAACACTTTATCACTTCTAATGAACAGGTTCGTAATAATTCACTTAGCTGAACGCAAGTGTAATAAGTTTAACAACTCTAGTCACAAACAACTAAAAACCAATATCGTATAAGGATAAGAAAATAGTTACTAAAAAAACATTTCGAAACTATGTCAACAAGTTGCATATGTATCGCAAATGTAACTGCTCTTTACTACTTTTCACTAAAAATATAAATTTTAGAGCTCATGGAAGCCGCTAAGCCCTCAATGAGAAGTCAAATCAAAATGAGTGGAATGTTGAAACCTACTGCCCATTCTGTGTATTACGCTGTCGCCAAACTGTATGATGGCCATGAGCATTCAAAAGAAGCCGTTGCAATGTAAGTTCAAACCCCAATTCACTATAAATTCGAAGTAACTACAGATTCGATAAAGCTCAAAACTTATGAGACTGTTTTTAGGTACCGTAGGTTCCTGAAAAGTGTTCAGTATGCACTTCCAACCGAGCATCCCAGAGTTGTTACAGCCAAAAACAGGATACGAGACATAAATCAGCCAGACCTGCAACAGGAATCTGTGATGCAAAAGCCACGATTTTACAATGAACCTCAGTAAAAATATCTTTCACTTACTTTAGTTTGCCTTAAATTCATATAAATACTTCTGTAGTTTAAACCTATGTACAAAAAATTGACGTGAAATTATTTTCCTTATTTTTTCTAAGGCTGAGCTGCGATTGCGGAAATATATAAATTCCCAACGGAACCAAAGTTAAAACAATCAAAAATATTAAATCAAATTTTGAGACAGCCTCATTTAAACTTCCTAAGAATCCATGGAGCATCATCATTACGAAGGGCAGACTTTTTGAGTCAAGTAATAAAAAACAGCTCATACAAAAACATATCGTTAGCAGTTGGAATAACGTTAAAAGCACGTTAATTGTTCCGACCATTGTGCACAAAAAAGAATAAAGTTAATTTTAAAAAAAAACTTTTTTTTTGCTTTTAAGAATATGATCGAAACATACTTTGCTACTTGCACATAAACCGGCAATCCTTGTTTTATTCTATTTTTAAAAAGATTTAAGGATAAACTTTTCGGCTAAGCAAGCCAAACTTAATGTGGCAATACAAAATATAGGCCTTCGTTGTAGGCATAATAATACTTGACTTTGAAACACCGATATATTTTTCAAAAGTAATCCAGCCATTCTCTAATAAATAAATAAATAAATAAATAAAAAAGTCTTAATTCAAATCAGTAAAGTACAACTGATTAACAAATACATTTACAAATTGTAGTTTCTCATGGAAAATCAATTAGAATCTGAAATTTCATTCCGGTCAAATGGTTCGTAGCAATATCAGTGATTTGTATGCGAAGATATAGAACCGTACTAATAGCGCTTACATTCCGAGATTTGTCCCAATAAACAAAAGAGGCTGGAAAATTCTCGAATTTTAAATTTTCAAAAATTCGAATTGTGACGTTACATTTCTGAGAATTGCTAAAACTGCCATTTTGAGCCAAAAAACAGAAGAATACAGAAAACAGCTGAAATAGCAAGAGACAGTCGGTAGAAGACATAGACAAAACGAAGCTTCTTATCGTGACGATCACGCCCGATAAGACAGCTAATTAGAGACAACAGACGGAAAGGAGGCTTCAGTGGGGAAGAAGAAAAGAGCAGTACCCTCCAGTGCCACGATTAACGACATTGTTACAGTGAAATCACGGAAGCGGAGGCTCCGCCCCCCAGAAACAGTATATGACGAAGGACTAAAAAGAACTGACTTTTTAGCTACTCTGATGCCATAAACCTTTGAATTAACACCTGTATTAATTGATATTTTAGAATATGAGTAGCTAGAAAGAGGAAAGGGTCAATCCATCTCCAATGGATTTAATATAGAACTGCCATCGAAAACATAGTAAAATAGGATATTCGAGCCGTGTTTTTAAAAGCAATCATGTAGTCTGAGGATACGGGACCCAGATATGTGGTTGTGTTCGCATGTAAACGGAAGCTGACTAAAAGTCGTTTAACTGATGGCCTGAGAATAGTAACCTTTTACTTAGCCCTAGACAGACCAGATAATCAACTGGCTAGGTCGAGACGGTGAAAAACGAGTAGAATGTAGGTAACTTACGCCGGCCAGTCGTTAATAGATACTTTTTCTACGCTCCGTCACTGTGTAGTATTTGGGCGAATACTACATAGACGTTTTTATGGCGCTCCTGGGTGGGATAAGGCATAAGACAATCATGATCAGCAAACGTTTCAGCGACGAACCCTCCGCTCCGGACGTAAGCCCGAGTTAGAGGCCTTAATTGCCTTTGTTGTACTAGGGGCAAGGTGCCGACCCTCCGCCTAGTACTATTTAGGTTTTTAACTTAGTTAAGACCTAAAATTCCGGGGCCCGGAGGGTTAGGTGGGAAGTCATGAGCCCGCTGATTGTGACATTTAACCAGAATGTATGAAAATGCAATTTCGTATTCGATTTTTTATCGACTAGAAAAGAACATCTGAACTGGAAGATTAATAGTTTCAATGGATTAGCAACGTTATTTGAACGATTAGACAAACCGTGAAGGTCGGAATATTCTGGCAATTTAAATTTTCAAAATTTCGATTTGTGAGGTCACATTTCTGAGAAATGCTGAAACGGCCATTTTGGAGAAAAACCAGAAGAAAATCAGAACAACAATAGTTGCAGTGGAAACAACTACGAAGAAATAACGACAGATAGATTTGAAAATTGTCAGAAACCGCTCCGAGTTCCGAGTTATAATGATTGATTTATATCTTTTCTGATAAAAAGATTGAGTGTTTTCGTGGCGGATAAGGTACCCTCCATTGAGTGTTATTTTAGGATTTAAGCACGTTAATGGTGATTTCGCCGGTGACCGGAGGGTAGGGTGGTAAGCTGACCGACGTGTTCCAGACTTAACAGGGGCATCAAGGACAACATCCACACAGACTGTTGGGTATCGTTGACACAAATTTAGTATCTTTCGGGTACTATTTCATTAACAATTAAGTGTTGGGGGGCACAATTGGCGCGGTCCGATTGCACCCTCCAGCGATTGCAAATTTCCGAGTTAAGCGTCTTAATTCGGGAATTTTGGTGCAAAAGAGGGTATAGTAGTAATAATTAACGACTACTAATAGATTGTTATTCTCACTGTATTTTATTTATCTCCTATTTAGACCCGAGAAACACCCAATTTTTTTCGAAAATTACTGATTTTCGACCAAACTGTCAGACCCCAAAAATTTAGATATCCGAACTTTTTGAGCAGCAAAAAACTTCTGTATAGTGAGCTACTACGTAGTTAAATTCCCCTATCTAGAGAAACCGCGCGGAAGGACACTCAATAGAAATTGACGAAAATGAAGTTTTTTCGATCAAAGTTTTTTCAAATTTTCCGAATTTCGTCCATATGTTTTGAGGATCGAGTTTTTGAGATTTCTAGAGTTAAAGCGATAAAAGTTTTTGTGTAAGGAGCGTGCTAGCATAACGTGCTCGGTTGCTAGAGAGATTTTTGAGTAACCCTCCAAATAGCTCCGTGGATAGAGCTAGAGACTTAAAGATTGGAAAAAGAGCGAATGGGAGGGTCCAAATTTGATAGTTTTTTGGCCTAATTTTTGTTTCCAAACAGATTTTGATCCGTTTTTTTTGCTTCTACGCTCGTTTCAATTATTTTTAGTATTTCCCACTAAGAATTTTGGAAAAAGTGTTTCAGAACCGATATAGGTGGTTAAAAAAGGCCAACCTGACGAACGCGTTTTTGCAATTTCTCAAAGACTAGCCAACCGATCGGAATAATTTTGGTACCACGAGGCGAAGTTTTTGACTAATTTCTTGGTTTTTAATTATTTTTGGGTTGATAATTTCAGGAAAGAAAATTTTTGTAGAGTTTGTTAGTTCGGAGGGTCAAATTGTTCGGGAACAATCCGAGCGGCAGAAAATTTTATAAGATCACCTTTTTATCCTACTGGGAAGGTTGACCGAGTCAGCCAACCTAGTTTTAAGTCAGTTAGACGGCATTCGGAGGCTTTACAGTGGTAGAACAATTCATTTTCATGATTTTTGGGGAACCCCTCGAAGCAACCCTCCGGAGTCAGCTAAGCCCCTTAGCAACCCTACTTAATAGAAATTTTCCACCCAGTCCTCCGAAGAAGTTAAAAAAACCCCCTCACAGAGAATTTAGCTTGTTTTGACACTTTCTGAGACAATTTGGAGACCCTCCTAAGTGAGATTTGAAAAATTTGAAATTTTGAAGGAACCCTCCGAAGTAACCCTCCGGAGCGTATTAAGCCTCATGTTGACCCTCTTTAGTGAGTTTAAGGGGACCCTCCGAAGTCACTTGGATGACCGAGGTGCCCTCCAAAAAAAACCCTCCGGAGTAAGCTAAGTGTCTCAACAACACTCCGAAATAACCCTCTGTATTGACTTAAGCCGCTTAACAACCCTCCTTATTGAAAACTTAGGGGCACCTTCCGGGCAATTTGAGCAACTAAAATATCCATTTAGTGTCGGAATAAAAGGGGTCAACTACTAACGGGGTACAAATTTTGGGGACTTAGGAGCCCAGTTGACCTGGAAATTCGTGATCAACTTTGGATTCTAGATCGGGTTTATCAGTGGTACCCGAACCAAATTTTTTTAATTGTTATTTTGGTTGTGTGGTTGCCTTGAGCTACTTAATAGGAAAGCTAGGGCAATCCGGGAACACATAAAAGAAGACCTCGATGAGTGTACTAAAAAATACACACTCACTTGAGAAGAAAAATGGGTTCCCTGCTCTCGTGCACTTGGGGCGGACCGGGTGTGGGAGAGCTTTTTCATAGACTTTAGAAGTTTTCGATCAGAGGTTGCCTTGAGCTACTTAGTAGGACATCTCGGGCAATCGCAGGACACCTAAAAAAAGACCTCGGTGAGTGTATTAGGCAAATACACACTCACTTGAGAAGACAATGTTCTGGGCTTCGTTCTTTTGGAGCATTCCAATTGAGGAAAGTCTTTTTCTTCAAGACTAAGTTTTAATTATCTGTTACTGAAACCATCACTGTTCATTGATAAAATTTTGTTTGATCTTAAACGAGGCAGCGATTTGATACGAGTGTGGCGGTAAAATTATTTTTGAACAAAAAGATCGCTGTCGCCTATAGGGTGTTCTTATCTAGTTATCAATTGCGTTTTGTGTGTTATTGTAAAATCCTAAAAAGATTTTGTGATGCTGTTACACTAGATAATTGAGTGGAGTTGTTAATATCTAATCTCTAAGTAGGCCCCTGGTGTAGTTGGAGCTGAATCACTTATAGTATTTCTACGAGATCGAAGGTACAATTTTTAATACCAGAGGACTCTAGTGAGTAGACTTGAGAAAATTTTTTCGAATTTAATTTTGAAACTTGTGCATTGCCGTCAAAAACTTTTTTAATCACGTAGCATGCAACGCAGAGACTCATTAGGAGCAACAACTAAAATTCCCAAGCTGAGCACGAGGACTACAGGAAAGTTAAAAACCCGGCGTAGCCAATCCACGACTAGCAGCATTTCCGACGTTTTTGCTGACGAAGCAACGACTAAAGATCAGGCTGGTCTTTCAGTGAGCGGAATGAAACTGAGAAGCGAGAAGAACCTCGATGGCAATCAAGGGCGAAGTGGTGGGACCAGACAGGC